GAGTGTGGCTCTGTAGCCAGGACAGTGCTCAGGCTTCTTGTAGCCAGTCCCTGTGTGTACACCTGCTCTTGGCTGGAGTCCAGGCATGACATCCCCCTTCTCAGTCCTTCAAAAGCCCCGCTGAAGAGACAGGAAAGCCGCGATTCAAATACACCACAGTGGGACTGGGCGAATAATTGTGAATGGAATTCATGCTTGATACTTGTGGTTCTCACAGCTGCAGATGCGGGGTGGGGTGAGGGATCACCATGGGAATTCTGAGTCTTGCTCAGCGCTGACTGCAGCTTCCATTGTTGAGCTCTGATTACAGCTTTTGTTTCACTATAAAGTACAGTTATTAAACGCCATTTGGGAACAAAGATGTATTTACATGCAGGGGGGTGCAGAAAAGGCATGTTTATTTTTAGAGCTGACTCTGTCACTCACGGGGGATGGGACAGTTGTAAGGGGAGGAAAGCAACCTGGGAGTTTTAAGATAAAAGTGAAGTGTTTCCTTAGGGAAACAGGGAGGACTAGAAATGATGAAACCACCACAGTCCTGCCCTTGTCTACCTTTGTCAATTTAGATTCATTTTTTGTGGCCAAGAAAGAGGAGGCAATGTACAAGAGCCAAACTGCAATCCTAGTCCTTTAGACCAGTGACCTGAGACCTTCCAAGGCAGAACTCTATTTCTGAAAGGCCAGATCCACATGGTTCCCCTTTCTAGCCATCCTGACCACCCCATCCTGTCCCGTGGCCACGTATGAGATCCACAGTAGTTAAAGGAATTCTAGAACCACACCCACTGACATCCCTGGGTAGATATTCTTCATGTATTACCTATTGCCCTGTTCAGGCAGGCTCAGGAGTTGATAATACTATCACCAATGTCAATGGAGCCCTTCATGTGCCAGAACGTTCCATGATTATTTAAGACTGGAAATGAGCCTGTTTTCATCTCCATCTTCCAGATGAGGAAATGTCAAAGTTCAGAGAATGCTCCCAGCATCATTCAACTGCTCAATACTGATGGATTCCAGAGCTCTGCCTGTGTCTTCCTTCTCTGGGATACCTTGCTTCCCTGGGATGCTTTGCTTCCCTGGGGTGCCTTCCTTTCCTGAGGCGGAGCCTTTGTCAACCAGAGTCTCAGGGTATAAGGTGCAATTCTTGTGTCTCTGTTCCTTGGTGGTCAGAGCATAGCACACAGCCAGGCCTCTGGACCATTTGAGACACTGATTGTGTGGGATGTGAATGATCTCTTCTGGCAAAAGCCAAGATGGATGAGAGAAATGACTGAAGCAGGAGTTTGGCTGGAGTTAGACAGTTAAGTGTCCAAGATCTGACAAGTAATTCCCACAAGGGGAGGTATTTATGAAGGCAAGATGGAATTCTCTTCCTAGCCTCCCCCAACTTTATTTGGAAAAAGCTGTCATCTTCTAGAATGCCCCCCATTTTACCTAGCCATTCAGCAATATAGATGATCTACTTCACTTCAGAAAACCTTTCTTTTCAAGTGTGGAAGACACACTGGAGCAAGAGGCCACATGTTCCGACGATAGCGGTCACTCAGTGCTCCTCAATTATACAGCTTAGTAATATCCCAGAACTGCCTTATGTGGGTAGAATAATTAGAGTATGAGCTAACCAAGAAGTCTGATGCTGCTGGAATCTCCCTGGCCTCCCAGATCATGGGGTTGTTGGGGACTTTCAGGGCTCCAGTGGCTTTATGGTGATTTTATATCACATTAATCCAGATGTTCAGAGTTAGGATCCTATTCTTGTTGCCCGAGGATTAGAAAGCAGGAACGATCTGAATTCTGCCTTCTACAGATCTTGGAGGCCATCATCTCCCCAATTCTCTTTTCTTTCCCCTTTGTGGGCCTCATGAATGAGCTATAAGGAAATCTCGCTGTCATTCCCACTCTTTCCTGGAGGTGGAGGATTGTGCCTAACCCTGGGATTCGAGAGTCATCTCCAGGAGACTCCACGTACCTCATTTGTAATCTGGGCAGGTCCCTTCATTTAGCCTGCCCTGGGTAATTATTGGGAACTATCCTCCCTCACTAGGTTGTTGCCAGGTGCGTGGGCGTGGCCTAGGGCCAGCCTCTGTCTCCAGCTGGAAATCCAGCCACAGAAGTAAGCCCAGGTTACTTCTTTTCCCTGGTTCTGGTTTTACTTTTATGCCATGGAAAAGGGAAGAGCTGTTTTTAACTCTCTGCTGCTTGGTTTCTGCAGAGGATACAGAAGAACCACGCTGGGTTCAAGGAGTGTTCAGTTCATGTTTAATTCTTGTCCTACTTTAGCTTTGATTTCTAGTTAGGTAGGGGTTTACCTCTGGAATTGCTTCTTCTGTTAGGTGTCTCACTCTGTCTATAAAGAGTGCTTGTGAAATTCTTCATTCAGCAGATGTTTGTGTTCAAGGCATTAAGAATACAACAATGACTGAAAAAAATTCTCTGTGTGTGTAGGGATTCTAGTAGGATGAGAAAAAATAAACAACACAAATGTGTGATTTTATATTCACATTTAGTAAGTAATATGTGACTACTGTTCATGAGAAAAAATAAAGCAGGGAAGTATTCATGGAGGGAGAGAAGACAAATCAGAGAGAGAGAGTAAGAGCCCAGTAATATTGTATGCCTTTCGATCAGTTACATGACTTCTTTACATTGCTTTACTTCATTTCATTTTAAAAGGGCAGATATCTTTTGGAAGGATCTAGGACCTAGCACTAAATATGCAGAAAGAGATCAAGAAATATTTTTTGAAGCAGAACATCAAAATAACTTACCTGATAATGTCTGATATACTTGAATTCCTATTCCTTTGTTCTTCACAGGATTCATGGAATATTCCAGCACACTTCAGTGCCCTCAGTGGGCCTTGACTGTTCTTGGTTTGCTCAGGCTGTAATTTCAACAGGGGAATATTCCACATACTTTTTTTTTCTTTAAATAACACTGAAAGAACTGTTATATAATAAATCTATCCATCCAAAAAAATCCTGAGGAAAAGCAGAGAGCTTTGGGTTTTTCTTTTCTTCTTCCTCTCTCTATCCGGCCTCTCCCCCTCCTGCCCCCCTCCTGCCCCCTCCTCCTCCTCCTCCTCCTCCTCCTCCTCTTCTTTTTCTTCTTCTTCTTCTCTGCACTTCTTGGCAGATCAGGAGATATAGCCAGTTCTCGCTATATCTCAACTTCAATTACTTTGTTGGGATTACTGGGATTACTTTGTTGTACATCTCTGGACAAATCAAGTCACCTCTATGGCTTTCCTCATTGTGTATAGATTTGGCTCTCAAAGTCAGACAAACTTTAGGATTCATTCTGCAAAGAAAAAAAAATAGAGCAAAGGAATAATTTCACACTATTTGGCCAATGGTGACTAATGGTTCCAGGTAGGAAGAACTCAGAGGCTCACTGCTTCAGTGGTCTGATTTCAGGGCTAGGGTTTACAGATTGAATAAAAGATGTTAAATTTGAACTACAGACAAACAGGAAATATCTGTTTTGTATGTCTCAAATCTCTCCGATGGAATTTTCTAGGGCTCTAGAGCTCAAAAGATGAGGACTTCTTCCAGACCTTCAAGCCAGGAAAAGCCAGCCCAAAATGCCTAGCCAAATCAGAGGTGACATCTGGATTTTTAGGTGAAAACTTTTATTTTTAAATGTCAGCTACACACCAGTTAAATCAATAAAACCCAACTCAGTGAGTGACGGAAACAGAGTGCTCTGGCTACTTCATAGACGGGTGGGTCCAAAGCCTTTCAACCATTACAGAAACAAGGAAAAGGAGACCAGGAAGAAGAGAGAGGTGCCAGCAGGCTGTACAGCTGAGGCTTTTCAGAAGATACCATAACAATCAGTTTGAAAGACAAGCAGCAGAAGGGGAACAATCAGAGCCAGCACAGGAGTGTTCCACGCGGTTCCCCACTAATCCACCCGTTTATCCAGCGCTGAGAACAGTATGTCCTACTTCTAGACATCGCTAGTATCATGTACATCTTCACATAGGCAGGGGGTTTTAAAAAGTGTTGATAAAGATTTTGAAGGCGGGAGGGTGTGATGTAAGGCTGTTTAGGGGGAAGAAAGAAAGGACACAAAGGGAACAAATATTGGAGAATCAATTGCAAGTCCTACGAAAAGTGTGGTATGTGATTCTTTTCCAGCCCTTTGCATGTCTGAATATTTCTCATTCTTCAGGTTTCTGTCAAGTATCACTTCTTCAGAGGCCTTTTCCTGAGCACCCTCTCTGAGAACGTGTCCTCTGCCCCTCTCTCCGGAACTCGGTAGTGTAACTTAGGAGCTAGCTCGCCATACAGAACACAGGCTACAATGAGGGCAGGTCCTTGACGCACTGAACCTGCTCCACAAATACGTTAGACATTCGTAAGTATTTACGAGAACGTAACAGTCCCGAAAGCATTCCCAGGTCTTTCTCTAAATGTCTGGATTTAGCCTCTGGTCCTGTCAACACCAATTCTAAGGAGGTGGAGCTCCATCTGTAGGAAAAAGCAGGAGTGGAAAAACCTAGCGCGAAAGAAAAAAAGGGCTTTACTCCGGGTCACGCTGCAGCCTACGAAGTCCTACCTCCTGGATAGACTATAACAGCTAGCAAACAAGTTCTCAGCATAGGAACCCGGCTTATTGTTAAAGGTACTTGGAGCTTGCAGCTGTGGGTGATGACATCAGAGAACTCGGAGTTCCACTTCGCAGCTAAGCCTCGTGGTTCTCGAAAACTACGAATCCCAGGATGCAGCACGGCGCAGGGGGCCCCCAGAGCTCTGCGCGCGTCCCGCCCACCCGGCGCGTTCCGGATCGCCGCCCTGGAACCAGGAAGACGCTCGGATCCCGGGGCCCGCCACGCCGCCGGGTGCGCGCGCGGCCTCTTGGGACTTGTAGTTTCGCCGGGGCTGGGAGTGTCCGCCCGGGAATCTCAGCCGCCGTCTGGGGGCTGAGGCGGCGCGTGCGCGCGTGCGCAGTGCGCGGGCGGGCCGTCGTGGGCGCCGCTCCCGGCAGCCGGGTGCCTGTGGGAGCCGGGACCGCGGCGGCGCCGGTGTTCCGGGCCGAGGCCGCGGTAAAGTGGGGCGTGAGACGTGCGGACGTGCAGGGGCTGGGGCAGGTGGAGGGGGTGAGGCCGGACGCGCGGGGCGGCGGGGGCTCCGGGAGCGGCGTGGCGGCGGCCGGGCGAGTGCGGGGTCGCGCCCCGCCGCCCGGCGCGGTACCTGGGCGCGGCCGGCTCACCTGCGCGGGCGGGCGGCGTCCGGCTCCGGCGGCGCGCGGTGCGGTCCCCGCCTCAGCCCGGCCACCGGGGCGGGGGTTCCCGCCGGGGACTGCGGGCGCGCCCTCCCTCCCCTCTTGCCCGCCCTCCCTCCTCCTCTGGCCCTCCCTCCTTCTCTCGCCCTCTCTCTCCTCCCTTTCCTCCTTCCCTCTTTTTCTCCCTCCACTTCTCCTCTTTTCTCCCTCCCCCCTCCGGCCCTCCCCCCGCCCCGTCCCTCCCCCTCCCTGTGCCTCTGTGGACGTGCCGGCCAGCTGTCCGGGATTCCCGGCGGCGACCCCGGGGCGCGTGCCCGCGGGCATCCCCTCCTGGAGCGTGAGCGCGCTTCCGCCCCGGGCCCGTCCAGGTGGACCTCGCGCCGTGCGGGTGACGTCCGCTCGCATCCTCGTGGCGCGGACGGCCGGGGCGCGAGTTGGATGGGACTCCGCGCTCAAGGTCACGCGGCGGGACCCGGGCGCGAGGCTGGCGGGCCGTCCCGGGCGGCCTGTGGTTCGTTCCCGAAGCTTGGTGTGGACGGCCCGGGGGTAGCCCCTCCGGGGAAAGTGGTCTCGGCTTCTGCACCTGCCGCTTTGGGTACGGAGGTCCTGGCTGTGCTACACCCCAAGAACGTCCCGGAACGGTCGGGAGCACGTATTCGAGCCCCTCTCCCGACCCCATGCAGTACTCGTTTTCTTTACAATTGAGTGTTGTGTGCTTTAATAAGGTTTTCTTTGCTGTAATGAAGTCATTGCCCTTTGTGAATTGGTTTTCTAACTAGAAAATCTTATTTCCTGTGTGTTTAATGACTGGAACAAATCGTGCACTCTAAGGTTCTTACCATTGTCTTTTATCTTAGAACTACTGAGCAATTGACTTTACTTCCCCCAAGTACCCAGCTTGCGTTTTACACCATTGAAAAAAAATGCGGCAATGTTTGAGTGAATGATGTGTAAGTCAGAGAAAAACTTTGGGGAAAAAAAGTCAACCTTTTTCTTTGGAATCTGGAGAACTTGGAACTATTTCAGTATTAGTAAGTTTTATTTTGACTAAACTGCTTCTTATTCTTCATACTTTTTTTTTTCACCTGTGGTGAAAAAAAATACTTCCCCAAATAATTTTGTTCAAATATTCCTCATCTTAGCCAAATCATCGCAAAGGAAATTACACTTTAGATTATTGGTTCGTTTCAACAACAGTGTTAAGCTTGGCAGAATTTAGGCTGAAGGCCAATTTATCTTGTAGAAGCTATAAACTCTACAGTGTGTTCATTGACAGGTTTTTCTTTCCTTTTATATCAAGATACAGGTTTGAGAATTTGTCTTTATGGGCAACCAGTGGATTACTTTTACCACACGGAGCATGTTGCTTTCCATCTTTCTTTATCTTGCTAATTAGTAATTTTATTGTTGCTATGGGAGAGAGGAGATTAGGTTTGTAACTTTTTCCTTTATATTTTTAGCAATGTAGCAAGCAAAATAGGAAAGAGAGATGGTGTGTAAATACGTTTGTCAGAGACCAGGAGAGACAGTGAACAGGATAAGTATACAATTGTGAGGAAACTGCCATGAGTTCATAAGCCGGAAGGACCTTTTTAGACGTGTTCAAGGATGTTAAGAATAGCATTGGGTTCTTTTCTTTGAAAGCCATTGTGGCCAATCTTTAAGTATTGGCTAACACATTATGGGATATGATGTTATTGAAAACTCCTAGAACATACTTGGGGAAGGTGGAAACATTTGGTATTTTTATCGAGATGTCTCTCCCCCCCAAAAAAACCCCCCTTACATTGGATAGAGCTTTTAAAAAGCAATTTTAAGAATATTTTTGCCAAGGGGCTGGGAAAGTGGCTTGGTGGTAGAGTGCTTGCCCTGCATGCATGAAGCCCCGGGTTCGATTCCTCAGCACCATATTAGCCGGAAGTGGTGCTGTGCCACAAGTGGTAGAGCCCTAGCCTTGAGCTGGAGAGCTGAGGGACAGCGCCCAGGCCCAGAGTTCAGGCAAAAAAAAAAAAAAAAAAAAAAGAATGTTTTGCCTAAGGCTGAATATTCTTAGTCATATAAGACTATAAGACTATCACTTCGATGGTGTGGTACTGGAAAGCCCAGAATGAAATCTAAAAAATCATTTTTTTAGTATAATTTTAGTCAGACTTTGATGTCAACATATCTTGATGTTTGCTATTCTTAATGTTTAACCCTGGCATTAGTAAAAATGAGGAAGATAGCTTTCTCATAGAATGTAGTAACTATTCAGATAGGACAAAACTTTCATAATTGCTTTAATGATATAGAAAGTTTCAACTACTGTAGCAGTGACTGCCCAAAGTACTTTCTCATTAGATTATTGCTGTGAACATGGGTGCTCACCTACTTGAGCAGTTTATTTTAATTCGGATGGGCACTGGGTTAATATGAACAGCAGAATGGTTACTGCTTCGAAATGGAGTTACTTTTAACCCTTCATTGATAGTGTGAAGACTTTTAAGTTTCAAAATTTAAGAAATTACTTGAGATCTGCAATCATAAATGGATTCAGTAGGAGATAAATATTAAATTTAATTTTAAGTTTTCTGAGCATTCGTGAGTACACAGCATTTGTATGGTTATTGACTTGGTATCTGAAAGGACTTCATGACTCAGATATTTTTGGTAGCTTTAGATGCTTGCCTGTAATGCTTAATTAGTTTTAGAAACATGCTTTTGTTTGAAAGGTAAACTTTCTGTTGATACTTGCTAAGCAGTAGGACTCTGTTAAAATTAGTAATTTTAAACCACTTAACAAAGTAATATTTTTCCTTGTAGGTACTATGTGATAAAGTATGTGAATTTGTAACTTCTAAATGAGATCCAAGCAAGTATTTGTTTGCTGTTTATTTTAGTAAGCCTCCTGACTGGTTGAATAGCTTTGATTTGGGAAGGTAGTGTTTCAGGGATTTTATATCAAGCTGTGTGTGTGTATGTGTGTGTGTGTGTGTGTGTGTGTGTGTGTTTGTGTGTTTGTGTGTGTGTGTGTGTGTGTGTTTCTGGGTCTTGATGTTCTGGGTCTTGAACTCAGGGCCTAGGTGTTGTCCTTGAGCCTTGTGATCAAGGCTAGGAGTGCTCCACTACTTGAGCCACAGCTCCACTTCCAGCTTTTTTTCATAGTTAATTGGAGATAAGAGTTTCATAGACTTTACTGTTTGGGCTGTCTTCAAATCTCAATCCTCAGATCTCAGCCTCCTGAGTAGCTAGGATATCAGGCTTTCATTATTGAGCTGAAATTTCTGTGGAATTTTGTAAAAGAAAATAAGTCATTTAGGATATTCCTTTAAAAATTAAATAAGTTTTAGACTAAAATACTTTTTCCAAGTGAAACTTACCAGACTTGTCAGTCTGTTGTTAGCTTTATTCTTCAAAAGGTTGTGGTTTTCCCACTTCAGGGAGCCTTTCTTTTTTTAGTTTAGCCATTGAGCTCTAGATTCTGGATTCAACAAACACTAGAATTGGAAGCTATCTCAGAGGGCTTCTAACAGGGCTTCTTGCCCAGTGCAGTAAATCCTCCCTGAGCATCTCCATGTCAGGTGCTTTCTCCCCTTGCAAGCAGTGTTAACGCATATGTCCTCAGGTCAGGTCATTGAGCAGTCCAGACTTGATGAGAACAAACGTATGATATAAGACAGTGTTAAATTATTGCCATTCACTGCTTCAACAATGCTTTGGTAAGTTCTTTCTCTCCTTTCCTCCATGCAGCCTCAATATATCGAGATAGCTTTACATCATTTTGAAGAACTCCAGTCTAATCTAGCCAGTGTAATCTATTAATCTTTTAAAAAAAATATTTTTTTTTGGTTGGTCATGGATCTTGAACTTTGGGCCTGGGTGCTGTCCCTGAGCTCTTTAGCTCAAGGCTAGCTAGCGCTCTACCATTTGAGCCAGAGCACCACTTCCAGTTTTCTGAGTGGTTTATTGGAGATAAGAGTTTCTTGGATGTTCCTGCCCATTCTGGCTTTGAACCACAATCCTCAGATCTCAGCATCCTGAGTAGCTAGGATTACAGGCATGAGCCACTGGCATCTGGCTTTTAAAAATATTTTTAAAAATCGTTATTATAAAGGGGTACAAATGGGTTACAGTTACATAAGTCAGGCAAAAAGTACACTTCTTTTTGTACAGTGTCACCACAGTGTTACCCCTTGCCTTGCACTCTCCCAGTTTTTCCTTCCATCCACACCCACAGGATGTATCTAGTTCATTTTCAACATAGTGTCTAGTGAATACCACTAAAACTATTAATTTTATATTGATTGTAGAACTTGTTTTCCCCTTGACCCCAGGGCCTGGCCACTTTCTGCCTAAATCACGTGCTCTTGGGATACTTCTTTCTTGTTCCCCTTCAGGGATGTAATTAGACTGGGAGTACTGAGAAGATTAATGGAAAAAGGGAAATGTTTTTTATCTGGTTCTTCTAAAGCCCTCTTTTGATTAACATTGGCCGGCCATTGATGTCCACTGATAGCTAGGCTAGCCTTCTTCCCTTGTAAGAGTTGTAGGAAGACCACCTACTGAGCATTTCCTGCATGTGAAATTTTCTGTGCTAAACTTTCCAGCCAACACACTGCCAGCATATTCTTGAGTGTTCTAGGGTAAGTCAGGGGAGGATTTTTTTTTCTCTGTAGTCAGATTCTTTGGTGATGACAAGACCATTTGAGTTTAGTCCTACTAAACCACTTGCTTAGTACTACTACTTGCCATTCAAGGTTTGCAAATTATTATCCTTCTGATCCCAAATGGTGTGCAGGCTGCTTGTCTGTGTCTCTCCTGTGACCTGCTGTTTCTCCTTGGTTGTCCTTGTCCTGAGTCTGTCACACAGTTCACTGTGTATGCAGACACTGAGTT